TCTCTCATTTCACTTGGCTTAAATTTGTTGATTTCAAATCGTTAAATTTCGCCGCCGATATCATTCATTTTTCATTAGTAACTAACCTATTTTGGTACTATTATCGTCTTAAACCTGGTTGTATTCCTCGTCGTATGTTTTTTATTACCTTGTTTGTATCACAGGCTCAATTATTCTTTGCGTACGCTTACATGTGTACTCTTCCAGTTGTTGATTCTATGTTTAATTTTCTTCTTGGTACGGTTTTGTCAAGAACAATTTCTTCATTCTTTAGTAAAAATGATTTTGCAGATTTCCTAATGGCGGTCGAAGATAAAAATTCAGCTATAGTCGAAACAATTGAATGCATTCGAATGCAAAGTGATGATGGTGAAGCTTTAAGAGATTTTGAAATTATACCTATTAGTGAGAACGAAAATGATGATAGTACAACAATTGTTACCCCGATTGAAGTTGGGTTTTTTAAAAAATTGATTGCATTTTTCTTTTTTCTTAATATTGAAAATGGAAAATTTGTGTATAAAGTTAATTATTTGGATGCACGTAATTTGAATATAAAAGAAAGTATAGATGTTTATGTTGAAAACGGTTTCTTAAAGTTAGAAGCAGGTCAAATAATTTATGTCGGGAAAAATAAGCTCAAAAGATGTATTAACTTAACTGATCACTGGCCACTCAAGATTGAATATGGTAAAATATATGGGGGGCCCCACAGCAAAAGGTGGTGATAGGCAAAAAAAAAATTTTTTTATAAAAACTTTATTTTTGCAAAAATTAGATCATTTAGAACACAATATTAAAAAACTACAGAAAAAAAATTTTTGGCCCATCACCACCTTTTGCTGTGGGGCCCCCCATATGTAGAATCTCCTACCGGAAAATCTTTTGTTGATTTGACCGGGCACAAATATTTTGAAATTAAGCATGGTAAAATCATGCATATGGAAAACGATAAGATTAAAGAAGTTATTGATATAGTTGATCATGGCTTATTGAAAATCGTAAAATCAGATTATGGTTTTAAAGTCGTTTATATGAAAACCCCTGAAGCAACAAAATTTATAGATTTAACAGAACATGGATTATTGAATTATATAGTTTATGGTCATAAAAAAGGTGATATTTTTGATGCGTAGTGTTTAGTCTATAAGTCAATTGTATCATTTAAATTATATCATTTTCAAGTTTTTTTGTTTGCGAATAAATAATAATAAACAATCAAAATTTGGATGTTCTCAATATTGATGCCTGACGAATGACGAAAATCATAAATTTTATGATGTAAAAAATTAAAAAATTTTTATTAAAGTTATTGAAAACTAGCTAATGGAAATAAATTGAACTTAATTTTTTGTTCATTATCATATTCATCCAGTTTAGGCAAAAAGGAGCGACTGTTCAAATTCGTAGATGATTCAATATAATTACACGTGATAGTCAACCAATCGTATCTCTAATTTTAGCAAATCGGCCAATCAGATTGGAAAAAAAGTTGTGGGATTCACAGGGATTCAAAGCATATGTTATAGGGCGAAGCAAAAACATCAATTCATCCGTTAAATTTATTCTCGTATCATAGAAAATTAAGCTACCCGAGCTTTTCAAAGGAGTATGATAAAATGTATAAAAAAATTTATTTACCAATCGTGTAATCATCTATGAATTTGAGCGGTTGCTCTTGTTGTTTAGGCAGGCACCTTAATCCGACATTTCCGATGTTTACATTACTCGCTCGGATGTATCCGATATGTCTGACGATGAGGGACCGACGAAACTTCGTGCTTGACAACTGCATTTTTATATTTTGTTGGTCTAATTAATTTCGGCAAGAGTTTCGTCAATTGTCAGTAGTTACGTCAAATCGTCAGGTTTCGTCAGACGAAACTATTGACAAAACCATTTAGTCAGCCCAAAATAGTTTCGTTAGGCAATTATTTGTAGATCTGCAGTCCTATATGAAAACCAATTAGTGAAGATTTTTGTTACATAGTAAAATACTATGGCAATAGCCTAATTTCAATGAAATTTAAGTCATATTATTCGGGTTATGAAAAAAGCTTCTTATTACATTAAAACATATTATCACTGAACTCTTATGCGAAATTCCTAACTAGATTAATATATACAGAATTTAAGTTTTATGCAAAGCACCATTTTCTTAAATTTGTTTATAGCTGTTTTCGAAAAGGTGTGAACAGACGCAAAAACTATATCGCGGGAAATTCATGAAATTACCCAGATTTCCAAAACTTTCAAATCCAGCTCTAATCAGATCTTCAATTTTTACTAATGATATTTCCCAATTCTTCGATTCCCTACAAAATCGTTGTTCACACCTTTTGAAAACAGCCGTAAACTTTTTTTTATTTGAACTCTACAAATATGTATAATTCAAATAAAATTTTTATCGAAATTAGCTTAATTATTGAGGAAACTTCGTTCAAAGTAAAGGAAATCTTTCCTGCCTAGGTTTAATTTTTTAAATTTTGAACGAAGTCTCCTTAATAATTACCTAACCAATTTTTATGAAGATTTTTATCGAAATTAGCTTAATTATCGAGGAAACTTCGTTCAAAGTCAAAGGAAATCTTTCCTGCCTAGGTTTAATTTTTTAAATTTTGAACGAAGTCTCCTTAATAATTACCTAACCAATTTTTATGAAGATTTTTTATTTAAATTTAGGCCGGACCAAGAAGAAAATTAAACATAGAATCAACAACTGGAAGAGTACACATGTAAGCGTACGCAAAGAATAATTGAGCCT